TTTGATCCTCTTCTTCTCTTTAGAGCAGAGCTGAAGATCACCACCTGCCAATCTGGCCTTGGGGGGTCTTCGCCAGCGCCCCCGCTGCTTGCCAGCTGGGTAAACCAGCCACATAAAAGGTGGCCGCGCTTTGGGGCACCCCTGGTGGATCTTCAGGTCGTTTCCAGTGGGGTGGCAACCATGGTTGGCTCTCAGTTCTTTAGCAGGAGCAACTTCAAGGGAACTCTCCTCAGGGCCGCGCCGTAAGCTCCATCGCTGGGATGAGCAAAGCTTGTGTTCCGTGTGCGTGTCTGCGCACGCAGAAGGTTTGTGAGCTTCCCACCGGGCACTTGGAATAAGTTCCTGGGCTCCGGATTTACTTGTTTATGTATTTATTCATTCAGGTTGATGCTGAGGGTTTTTCGTTGTGCACCAGGGTCCTGCTGGTAGATCTTGGTGTTGTCATCCTGCTGCCCCTTCTGTGGGTGAGGCCTTGGGGGGGGGCAGCTGATCTGCTGCAGGTTGCATAGAGACCAGCTTGGAAACATTCCTTTGAGGTAGGGCTGTTCCCCCACGCTTTGATATAGACTTTTTTAAAAAATTACTTGTGTAGCATTTAGCACCCAACAGAAAAGGGTGCCCTTTCAGGTTGTGCTGAATGGCTGGTCGGGAAGTTCAAACATGTTTTTGCACCGTCTGATCTGGCTGCAAGCTTGTATTTTAAGTGATTTCTAAAAGGACTTCACAGTATCCAGAGACGCAGGTCTCCTGAGGAATAAAATGACATGGGAAAAGCACAGGGTCCTGTTCTCTCTCTCTCGCCCTGACTCCTCTCTAGGGAAAAAAATGTTTTCTTTCTGATATTTTTAAATTTGTTTCTTTTCCAAAATGAGGACAGTCCCAGAGGTCTCCCAGTTGGAAACTGAAATTCCCTCGCAAGACCTTTGACCACCTCAGAGATGAACGTTGGCCACGAATTGTCCCCGATGTCCAAAGGCATGTGCAAGCCAGGCTTCTTTCGGTGCCTCCATGCCGAAAGGGATCCAGAGCCTTGCCCTAGAGCCTGCCTTTCAAGGGGAATTTAAATTTTACGTCACCACAGTGCCCGATCCTTTCCCTCTGTGTCGTTAATCTCTGCATTTCCGAGTCTTTCCTTTGTGTGCTTTTGTTTAAAATCTCAGCAACACCGGAGTCTTGTATCCCTTTCAAGATTAACAAATTGTATCGGTCAGTCGGTCGGTCGGTCGGTCGGTCGAGATTAACAAATTGTATCAGTCGGTGGGTCGGTCGGTCGTATGCTTCTTCCGTGAACTGTGTCTCAAGGGTTGTTTCTCTAAGTAGGATTCCACAGCAGAAATCTCCCTCTTGATTTCCTTTTGTTTGCTATAATAGATGCAGATAAGATGTGGCTCAAGTTCCCTTTTTGGATCTTTCATCACGTGGACCGTAATGACTTTGCCGTCACCTTAGGACCTTTAGGAACGATGCCCTGTTTCTGTTTGCTTAGAAATATCGCTTCTTTTTGCGCCCGGAGCAGGTTTTGTGAGGCTAATGGCTTTTCACTCTAGGCAGCCAAAAGGGGTGGCTTCCCTTGAAGGAGGAGGCAGCCAAGTTACTTCTCTTGAAGCAGAAAAGGACAATAAAAAGATGACCCAGGTTTGCTGGGCATGAACCTCTGCGGATGGTTGCCTGCTTCTTCAGAGGCAGGCATGCTTTATCTGCTTGTTTCGTTTATTTATTCATGCAACTTTGAGACAGGGTAGCTGCTTTAGTCTGTTGAGCCAAAACAAAAACAAAGTTTCTTTTCTCTGCTTTTATTTACTCATTGCATAATAAACTGCATGGAAGAAAAGGAAACTCGAGCAACGTTAAAACAATCCAAACATCAAAACACCAAGTTTTAAAAACAGCAACAAACACCACCAGCCTATTTGCATCAGTCAAAGGAAACATCAGAACAACTTCAGGAAGAATTGTATCCCCTGATCTGATCAGCCAGGCTTTGTTGGAATAAAATGTTTTAAGCAGACGGTAGGGGCTGAAAAGCCTCATGGCGTTGTCCTAAATTTCGGGGTGTGTTTTGGGGGGAAGAGCAGGAGGGGTTAGGAAGAGTGCCAGAAGACTGAAAGAACAAGTCCTACCCGTGAGCATCATCTGGCCGTTGCAAACCGAGGGACATCTCTATTTTCACAAAATTCACTTGCAAATGTCTGTGTTTACATGTGAATGTTGGCACCCATAGACTTCAGTCGTTTGTTCAGAGAGGAGCGTACGTATTTCTTATGCTCTCATGTATACCCTTGTTGAAACTGTGTGAATTCGCTGGTGGTTGTATCTTGGTTCTCAGCTAGCGTCTCAGCTCTTTAGGGAAGAAAGCTTTTTGACTTGTCAGCCATTCATTCATTTATGTTTTATGTCCTGGGGTAGACAGTGCTGGTGTAGCTGGGTGGGGTGGAGTCCCTTACTGGGGAGCCAGGGGCCAGGAGATCAAATCCCGCCCCGGCCCCCCAGGGCTTCCCAGGAGAGGGGCCAGCCAAGATCTCCTAGCACATTGGGTCCCAACTTGGGGGGTGCCCAGATGTTCCTGGACTCAACCTCCCAGAAGCCTTCACCACCAGCTATGCTTGTCCAGGAAATCTGGAAGTTGTAGTCCAGGAATATGCAGGGAGCCAAGTTGGGAAGGACAGCCCTAGAACGGATGTGACTGAAAAAATGACGTGTCCTCCTCCGGTCGTGGCGAAGCTGTGCTGTGGTCCCAGAGCACCGCCAGGAAGAGGGTTCTGGGGGATTAAAACAACCAAACCAAACCTCCCTCTCCTGAGTACTTCATACCTAGAAAATCTTGGGAGGGTCACCATAAACCAGATCTGATTGGACAGCAGGTGATTATTAATCAAACTGGAGGGGCAGATGACTTTGTTGGCATCCCCTTGATCGTCAGGGGTTTAGGAAACAGAAGCCATAAGGCGGAGAGCCACTTCCGGGCGAGTAGGCCGGTCACGGGACGGACAGGGCTGAGCAGTGTCTGTGAGGGAGCTCTCAAAACGCAAAGGCGTTTGCTTGTGCAAAAGTGTGGCTTATGTTGCCGGAAACAGACTTTTCTTGAGGGAGCGAACACATCCGTGGAGGCAGGGCTCCATTTCCCATGCAAAGGTGGGCGGGGGCCGTTCTTTTGAATGGTTCTGTGGAGAATGATCTGTGTAGCGTGTGTTTGTTTTAGGGAATTGTTCGCTCCGGACCGGACCGGGTCTCTACCTTTCGGGGGGAGGGGGCTTGAGAGACAGCCTGTGAGTGTTGGCCTGCGTGGTGTGCTGGGGCGCCAGCTGCGCTTTTCCGGAGCTGCAGACAACTTTCTGTTGCAGTTAGATTTCTGCTCCTCTGTTTATAGCCAGGAGGCCAAGCCATACCTAGCAATTTGGAAGCCTCGGGGAAGCAGGGCAGAATGCGCCCTCAGATAAACTGTTGTAATTCCCGATGTGAAATTCCTTTCTTGGGAGGAGAGGCTGGCGCAGCGTCTGCGCATCCATGCTCAAGGCGGAAGGGGTGGTGCCGTTCCAGCCAAAAATACCAGCAGGAACCTCGGCCGCCCTCCTTCGCTTCATCCCCCTCACTTTGGCTTGGCTTTCTCCTCTTTCGTGCAAACAAAGCCACGGATGGTTTTACATCCGTGGTTCTCTCAACGTTGGCCCTCGGAGTCAGGCCCACCTCGCTCAGCCTTGGTTACGGCCGTACCAGAGGGCCTTGTTTGTGTTGTGATGGTTCTCGTGAGTCATGAGTTATGCGGATATTTGGTATTTGGGATAGTTTGGTTCACCACGATGTCTCTCTTAGAGGGCCAGGAGAGGTTGAACTGAACAAGCGATCGCTTGCGGGGGCCAAATATCTGAGAAAGGAAAGGAAGCTAGAAATGCCACGGTTTCATGTGATTCCGTGATGAGGCAGTCATATTTTAAATCTCGGGTGCCAAGCTGCTGCTTGGAGTGTTTCATAGAGATGGGAAAGGCAAAGGAAAACAGCAATGAAGGAACCAAGATGTTGCCCTATAAGGAAAAATTGGTCTGAGTTTAGAAAGCAGTTGAGGTTGTATCTGATTTGGCTTACAGGGCTGTTTTGCATAGTGTTATCAGCCACAACGGGAGCAAGGGTCAAATCACACTCCATGGTGGACCGTATGTCTCTGAGCACCACAGCTCTCTTAGATAGCAGCCGAAACTCATGGAATAAAACATGAGAAGGACATGTGCGTCTTTGTTCCGGAAAGGTTTAGCCATCCTTCTCCGGAGGGCTTCTAAAGGCTTGTCTGAGAGCCGAGCTGCAAGGATGGCGGGTGGCTTGGTGGCGTTCCGGTGGACAACGTTGGGCATGGATCCGTCCTATTCTTCATTGTCCCAGAGGAGGCGCAACCACATTTTATGGGGCAGTCTGGCCACCTCCTTGTTCAACAGGCCATGGTCCCCCACCCACGGCTACCTTTCCCCCATTTCCCCTCTTAACTGTACCCAAGCTCCTTGTGTTCATGCCATCATCCCTTGTTAACTCTTGGAGCTGGCACTTCTTTCTAGGACATGCACAGTCAATCCCCCTTTTTTGGCCATGGTGGAGTTTCCACCCACCCCTGCCATTTCCCCTTGAAAACAAGGTGCTCGGAGAGCGTGCACCTTGTTTTCAGACCAAGTCGCCCTTCTGGGAACACAGTTTGGCACGAATACAAGATGCGTGCTTCCATGCGCCGTGTTTCAATGAGAAATCTCACATTTTTGGCCACCGTACTAAGTTCAGTGTGGGCAAAGGGAAGACGCGAGGAGATGCTTAAGAACAGGTGTCGTGTCTTATATATCCCTGGCCTTGGTGCTTATTCCACAGCCTCAGCCAAAATAGGAACCCTGGCCCTGGCCACTCTTTTCACATCCCTGAGCCGTTGGGAAGTTATCTGTGGGCTGGCAGAGGGGCGAGGGTTTGAAGCCCGCCGCGGGTGAAGAGACGGTCAGGTTCTAACACTCCTTTCTCTCCCTTCTCCGTAGGTATTTGTATCAAGTGTGGCAAGGGGGTGTACGGGGCCAGCCAAGCCTGCCAAGCCATGGGGAATCTTTACCACACCAACTGTTTTACATGCTGCTCTTGTGGTAAGTCTCTCGCTTCTGGCTTCTTGCCACCTCTCTCTCTCTTTCCAATGCCTCCTCCCTGGGACCGGTTAGATTACCGGGAGTCCCTGCTTGCTTGGGCACGATGCAGGTTGGGATTATTGCAAAGGGAGAAGGTAAAAGGAATGTCGAAGATCTGCGGAACTAGCAAAACGAGCAGGGTCTGTGGATAGCTTAGGTACGTGGCTGTGGAGCCAGAGACGGGGAGTTCGATTCCCCCACTCGGCCTCCTGGACAAGGAGCTGGACATGATGATGCACAAGGTCAATTCCAGCCCTGCAGTTCTAAGAGGATGATAAAGTCACCAACGTTTGTGAAAACATAGCAAGCATGCAACGAGGATGCTGGGCTTCTTTACAGCACGGGGAAGAATGTGAGTTTATCATAAGGCTGTCTTTCTGCTGAAATGGAATGCTTGGCGCCAGATTTTTAAAAGGATACAGATCGGCAGAATCCTGAGAAAGGGAAGCGGGCTTTAAAAGGAGGAGATCTCCTAGGGGGACATTGCCTTTCTCGTGGATATCGCTGACTCTTGAAATCTTGAGACTGCCTTTTGTGCAGGTGCCCTCTAGATGTTCTCTTGAGGTTACCTTTTGGTCAGATAATCTCTAGGTGTTTTCTAGATCTCACCTGTGCAAAACAAGGCCAGGGTTTTCCCTGCTGTGGCATAGTCTCCTTGGTAGTGGCCTATTGGATCACCTTTCTTTCTCCCTGCAGTTTTTTTCTTTTGGCTTGGTACTCCGTGTAGGTTAAAACATTTCTCCTGACCAAATCATGGACATTGGCTGGTTGGCTGGCTGGTTGCTATGTTGTGCAACTGGGTATCTGTGTTTGTTTGGTATCGTGGTTTATTTTTATATTTCTTTATTGCTGACCTAAGTGCAACGGCGTAAATCACAGCAACAAACTGCATCTCGTTCAGTCGGTGTTTGTCATCCCTCTTCCAGAGGCCATTTGTGCGTCTTGGCTGGCGATGGGGAATACAAGTGGCAACGTCATTGCTGCAGTTTCTTCTGCCCTTGCCCTGGTGTAAATAACCAACAGGATTCTGGCCGGTTGGAATAAAACCAGCAAAGTCTGTCTAATAAACAGATGAAAACTCTAAACCTGAACATGTCTCAGGTGGCATAAGAACGTGTTGCATGAAGTGATCTTCCGTATCTCGAACGCCATGGCCAAATGTTAATGTTTTCTTATAACGGAAAGAAGAATAAGGAAAGGTTCAGAGATCCACAATGAACTGGCACAACAGGGCCTTCTAAAACAAGTGTTTGGCTAACTACCTGTGATATTCGAGACAGTGTGGTTACAGTCTGGGGTTCCCGGGCAATCCTCTTGGATGGATGGGGCAGCCATCAGAGGTAGCAGAAGGCTTTGCGGTAGCCTTGGAAAGCAGCCGTAGATGCAGGTTTCGGCAGGTTATCCAGAGGTACTTCCTAGCTTACAACCGCCGTTAAACAACATAAGGCATTTGCTTTATTTATATGAAATACCTTTACCGTGCCTGAGAAGGCAGTTTACCAACCAGCACAAAAAATTAGTTCATTTGTTATGTATTTATTTAAAACACCTAGATACTTCCCTTTCTCTTTTCAAGAGGACCCAGTGCAATAATAATATTTTAAATATGTGCATATAAACATCTGACATCCACGAAGTGCATGTATTTGTACATGATGCTTGATGGTACGGTGTGGTGTGGGATTTGCTTAGGGGAACGGAGGGATTTCCGTGACCAGTGAGTGCACCAGAGCCGACGTAGAGATATACCTTGATCTTCGAGGAACAGTCACAAGTGAAGGAGGTGAAGACAGAGAAAAGGGAACCAGAAGGTCAACATGGCCCGATGGCCCCATCCTGGCAGGGGCTGAAGGAAGGAATGTGGGCCCTGCCCGGATCGGAAAAGTCACCCCGGCGTTTCCACGGCCTGACAATGCATCCTTGTTCCTATGTGGTTCCAGCTGTAATCTCTCCTAAATCCTAGCAAAGGCAACTTCCTTGAGCGATGCCAGGTTTAGTCATCAGGCCATCTGCTTGGAAGGAGGACCCGTAAATCACCTCTGGAGCAGCACCTGCTTCGCACAGCGCCCGCTTCATCCCCGTACGTCTCATTGGGATGTCGTTTGCTCAGGGCATCATCTCAGTGGAAGAAAGAGGGAGAGAGAGAGAGAGAGAGAAGATTGCCTCCAGGGGCAAAAACATCTTGGGCTGATCCCCCCCCCAAAAAAAAGCATTCTTTTTTTAGTGCCTTCCACTCTGGAGTTGGGTGCGGTTGTACTCAAAAAGGAACCTTTCCACCCTCTGGTTGACAGTAAGGTTTTGCAAACCTTGTCACTTCCTGGGGTGTTTTTTTTTGGGGGGGGGGTTCCACAGAAGCTCTTGCTCAGAAATACATTTTTTAGCCTTAAAGGTGCCATGAAACCTTGGATTATGTTGTCCTTTTCCTTACTGCTGTTGCTGAGACAGAGTGGAAGGCGGCCACCTCCCGGAAACCTTCATTGGACCTTTTCAGATCTGAAACTTAGAAGTCCCCATTCTCTGTGTATGTGTGTGTGTGTGTTTTGAAGTGGGGGAGGTGGGTCGGTGCCTCTCTCTCCCATACTTAAATTGTCAAATCCCAGACTGGGTGGAAGAGAATGGAGCCAAGTCAGTGACCTCAGCCAGGAAGAATGTCGCTTTATTTACGTAGAGCCCCTGCTATTTTAGCAGCAAGGCCTTTTATTCCACAAGGGAGAATGTGTGCCAGTTTTGTGTTTATTGCCAAGTGGAAGCTTGTGCATTTTGAGATTTGCATCCTAATCGTTCTACTTCCCAAATGCATGCAAGCTGCTTTTAAAAAAAAGCCAGTCCTGGGAGATTTTGCTTTGTCTTACCTACCTTCTGTGTGTGTTTCTTTAAAAGTGTCCTGGCAAATATCAGAAATATATATATATATTCATTTACAGGGCATTTGAGAGGAAATCTCTGGGCCATTTATACTCCGTCTCTACAAAATTATTCCTGGGATCCCAGCTGCTTTGGAGGCTTTGCTTTGTTTTTTTTTAAATAGCAGCTTTGCCTTCCATTCTGTCTTTATTAGGCGACGAGAGAGACTTCTGAAATATTTTTGTGTCTTTTGATGCAGCAAGGGACTGGAATGCAGCCAGTTTGAGTCCAGAAAATGTGAGCGTGTTTGTATAACTTATACTCCAGACATTCTTGCTCTGTGCAACAAAAGGGCTTTTCAGCTTTTTTGGCCTGTCAGATGAGCGTACAGTTCTTGGTTGTTGTTTTTTTTTAAGTAAGAAAGGGTGTGTGTCTCTGTGTGTGTGTGTTGTTTGCCCACTTTGGTGAACCCCCAGGAACCTCGGTCTGAAACATGGCATGTTAACGTGTCGAAGCGGATCGCCTGTTTTTGCAAGTTGAGGGAAACCTTAGATGTGCCACTGCGGGGTCCCCTCAGGAGATAAAAACTTCCTGAGAACCAGGCCCACAGTTGTCGTTCTGCAGCCATTCAGAATCCGGGCAGCTCTTGCCAAGACCCAGGATCTTTTTGAGAGGAATTTTGGCACTGATTCCCCCCCCCACCATGCACTCCTCTCTCATCCCCCTCTCTGTGCTGTTGCTTAGGCTATCAACTTTTGTCTCTGGTGGGGAGAGGGAGGGAGGGGAAGAGCGGAGATCAGGGGGGGAGAAATGGATGTCGGAAGGCGTAGGCTTCCTTCAAACACCTCGGTTGTGGGGCGGCCCCTCTCTGTGTGGTTCAGCCAGAGGGGTGGCTTGGTTTGCAAGCTTCCTGCTTATAAGAAGGGTACTTTCCCGCGTGTTCTCCGGCTGCCCTTTTGCTTCGGAGAAGGTTCTGAGAAGCATTCGAAGGGTCTGGAGGAAGTCGAGAAGCAGCTAGGGTTTAACTTGGGTCCCTCTACTGAGCAGAGAGGGTGAGGCCAGATGGCCAAATAGGTCCCTTCCAACTCTACAATTCTGTGATCTGCGTAAGGCGTCGCCTGTCGAAATATCAGAAGCCAAAGCACGACGACATTTCCACCTTTCAGTGGTAGGGCTTGAAGGAGGCCTTGCAGGGGCTTTTAACCTCTCTCCGTGGGCCACCAAATTCCTTTAGTCACCATCTAATCCTGCAGGGCCCCCATTTCCTGTCCGGGCTCTGGAGACTCCACGAGAACCCTTTGCCTCGGCTTTCCCACAGTCCAGAAATGTTACCGCCGAGGCTGACGGAAGAAACAACAGGATGCTGGGAAGGTCTTCCCGACACAAGCCCGTTCATCAAATACCCCAGATTCCTTCTGCCTCCTAAAAGGCTGACTCAGAACCTCTGGTTCACTTCTTTTTTTTAAAGATTTGCAAGACTGAAAAAAGAGAGGCATTTGTCCTGGAGGAGGAAGGGCGCTTGGCCTCTCCTCGCTCCCACGTCCACTTCCAAATCAAAGCGGTTGGGGGGGGGGGGAGAGAGGCCCTGCAAAACAGAGATCACAAACTGAAGTCTTAATGGTGCTTTTTTAAAAGGAATGTAAAAATAAACCCAGTTGATAGAGATAGACAGGGTTCCTTAGTCCCAGGGCGCCCCCAGAAGAAGGGAATAGTAAACTACTTCAAAATATTCTCTACCTAGAAACCCTGGAAAGGGTTGCCATTAGTCCGGATGGACTGGAGGGCATGCAATTATTATTATTTATTGAAAGGAAAGCCATCTGATTCTTAAGATGTGGAGTAATTTACAGATTGTCTTCTCACGGCAGCTGGAAAAAGCCATCCGGCTTTGATGTCCCTTGAGCGTATTAGCAAAGTCCCTTTGCCCTCGGAAGCTCTCATACGCTGGAAGAAAATCTCTGTTCCTTGGCATGGCTAGTCTTTGTGCAGAACGGAAGGACTGTAGGGAATAATACTCCATCATGCAACTTGACGCTCCAAGGGGGTGTGTTCAAGGAATTGGTAAAACCCTGAGCCCATCTTTACAGTTCCAAGGGCCATGTGCTGTTAAGTCTAGC